CCTATGGGTTTGTGCGTTTTCAGCTTCTGTAATACTCACTGACCAGTGGAGAATCATCCTTCCTCCAGTTGTGCTCCCTTACTTCCAGTGACTGTAATTCCTGGGGGCTGGCCTTAGGAGTAAAGACTGAGGCAAAGAAGGCATTCAGTAATTCTGGCATCTCTGGATCCTCTGTTATCATATCCTCCACCTCATTTAGCAGCAGACCCACTTTTTCCCTACTCTTCCTTTTCTCGTTGATGTATCTGAGGAAATTTTTCATGTTTTCTTTGAGTTCCCTAGCCAAATTGAATTCCAAGAGAGCCTTGGCCTTTCTTGTTGATTGTCTACATGCTCTGGCCACATTTCTATAATCATTCCAGTTAACAAGACCTTTTTTCCACTTACTGTAAATTTCTTTCTTCCATTTGAGTTTTTCCAGGAGCTCCTTGCCTAACTATGCAGGTCTTCTGCCACCTCTACTTGATTTTCTTTTAGAGGAAATGCCATCTTATTTCTCTCCCTAACAATACTGAACTCTAACATATCATGGTCCCTACAGCCAAGACTGCCTCCAAACTTAACATTTGCGACCAGATGCTCTTTGTTTGTTAACACAAGGTCCAGCATGTCACCTTTCCTCATTGATTCTTCAACCACCTGCAGCAGAAAGTTATCATCAATACACTGCAGGAACCTTTTGGACTGAATATGCTTGGCTGTATGATCCTTCCAACTAATATCAGGGTGATTGAAGTCACCCATGAGCAGCAGGGCAAGTGATCTTGAGGCCACTTCCAGTTGCCTGTAGAAGGCCTCATCAACAACCTCTTCCTGGTTAGGTGGTCTGTAGTAGACACGCACAGCAATGTCTCCCATGGTTTATGTCCCTGAATTCTTATCCTCAAGCTCTCAACACCTTCAAGCTCTCAACACCCTCATCCTCTCCCACTAGGTTAAGCTCAATACATTCTAGCTCTTACTCATGTAGAGAGCAATTCCACTACCACACCTTGGCAGTCTGTCTTCCCTGAAAAGCATGTAGCCATCCATGACCATATTCCAGTCATGTGAGCTATCCCACCATGACTCTGTAATCGCAAGGAGATTCATAGCTCTTTGACTGCACACTGCTTATGCTTGGGAGGAAGAACTTAGGGGTCTGAGGAGGCAGTTAGAGCTCTGGGGGGAGCACTCGTGGGCTCAACGGGAAGGTCAGGGGTCCAGGGGGGGCACTTCTGGGTCTGACAGGGAAGTTAGGGGTCTGGGGGGGGGGTGTCACTTGTGGGTCCAAGGGGGAAGTTAGGGGTCCGAGGGGCGAGGGCAGGACCTTGGACCCACCTCTGAGCCGGTTTGGAAGCTCCTCTCAGTGCTGTCATGCCTCACGGGCCTTGGGGAGGGAGGGCTCCGCTTGGCCCTCCAGCCTTCAGGAGCTTCTCGAGGTCCTTCGGGAGCTTCTCGAGGTCCTTTGCGAGCTCCTCAAGCTCCTTTAGGAGCTCTTCGATTTGCTCCAGGTCTTCTTGAAGCACTCTAGAAAAGTCCTTGATGAGCTCTGCTATGTCCTTGATGGTCGTCAGAACCTTCCTGAGGTTCTTCAGCACCTCTTTGAACTTGCCCATGGGTTCCTGAGGTGCCTCAGAAGCTTCTGAAAGTCCTTCAGGAGCTTCCTGAGGTTCTTCGGGAGCTTCTCAAGGTCCTTCTGAATCATGTCGAGGTCCAAAGGCGGGAAAGCTGTGGTGGGGGACTCTTTAAAACCTTTAGAAGCCTCCCACCAGTCCCTGCTAGACATCCCCCTGGCCAGGGCCTGGCCAACGAGCACGGCCTCTTTCCCACCCAGGAAATTGTATTCTTTCTCTTGGGGGAGAGGAAAGGAAAGGAGCTTGTGTCCCCACAGAGCTCCACTCCCTGTAGAACTTTAACACTGGGGTGCCGGAGCCTAGTCCAGGGGTGTCCTGTGGCAGGGAGGGTGTCTCCACAGACGGGAACCCCCTCACGCGCCACGACGACAACACGAGACAAAGAACCACGCAGGTTCCAACTTGCTCCTCCTGCCATCCCTGTTTCCACAGGGATGCGGAGGGAGCAAAATTCAACTAAAAAGCCTCAGGGGTTGAGATTAAGGGTAGGGAGGGGGATAATCAACCATTTGAGATGACGGGTAAAGAACCAGAGAGACTTGGGTAATAAAACATCAATGAAATTCAGCACCATCGGTTACAAGGTGAGATAGTGAGAGGAAAATATCAATAATTATGCCCAGATCTCAAATACACTTTGAACCCCCCGACTCCTCCCATCTTCCCGGCTATCCTCCCTCGCCATCAGTGCAAGGGGGGCAGGGGGTGGGGGGTCAGTTCACTCTGGCCATTTCTCATTGTCCAGGGCAGCTCCTCCTCGAGAAAGGGGGCTCCTCGCAGTCTCTCTCTCCTGCCGCGCGGTGCCCACCTCACAGGGGGCAATCCTCTTCCTCCTTGGGAGGCCCTCGGGGCCACAGCTCGCTTCGGGTACCTCCCCGGCTGATGCTTGGTCTCTATCCCCTCTAGCACGGGGCTCTGCACATGCCGACGCATCCTGGACGTTGTCACTACCCTCGGTCCCCCCAGCAGGAAGGCAATCCCCCTCTGGCCTTCCTAACCCCCACAGGCTGGAGGGAAAGGTCCTGCTCTGGCAGCCTTCTCTCTCCTTCTGCTCTGGGACTCCTCTCCCCCTCTTTCTTCCTTTGTTCTCCTCTCATCTCCTCCTGCCTTGAACAGAAAAACTCCCCAGCATTAGGGACAGGGCAGCTCAAACCAAGCCAAATCAAGCTAAACCAAGTCAAACCAAGCGAGAGTGAGAGCACTGGGGTCGCCTCTTCACTGCCTCGATGGCCAAGGCCCTGATGGGCCAGAGACAGGTCCAGCTCCCACCTGGGGGTGGGGGAAGCTCTCAAGGATTTACACAAGTCTAGCCTCACTCTCACAGAAACCCCACAACCCCACCAGATCCAAATCCATGACACTATCCTAAACGATTCCATGATCAGTTATCCACTAATCACAAAGCACTGCTGCTGAGATCTCTTTTGGATCCTCTGTACCCCCTTCCCTTCCTCATCGCTGCTGGAAAGCAGCCCTGTGGAAAAAGACCTCGGAGTCCCAGTGGACAGTAAGTTGTCCATGGGACAGCAACATGCCTTTGGGGCCAAGAGGGCCGATGGGATCCTAGGGGACATTAAGAAAAGTATGTCCAGCAGGTCTAGGGAGGTTCTCCTCCCCCTCTGCTCTGCCCTGGTGAGACCACACTTGGAATAATGTGTCCAGTTTTAGGCTCCCCCGGTCAAGAGAGACAGGGACCTCCTGGAGAGAGTCCAATGGAGAGCCACGAGGGTGATCAAGGGACTTGAACATCTCTGTGTGAAGAGACACTGAGAGAACTGGGGCTGTTCAGCCTTGAAAGGAGACGGCTGAGAGGGGACCTTATTACCGTAGAGAAGTATCTGAGGGGTGGGTGTCAAGAGAAGGAGACAATCTCCTCTCAGTGGAGCCCAGCAAGAGAATAGGAAATAATGGGTTTAAGTTAGAACACAGGAAGTTCCACCTCAACATGAGGAGCCTCAACATGAGGAGAAACTGCCTCCCTGTGAGGGTGCCGGAGCACTGGCACAGGCTGCCCAGAGAGGGTGTGGAGTCTCCTTCTCCGGAGACTTTCAAACCCACCTGGATGGGTTCCTGCCTGGCTGCCCTGGGTGACCCTGCTCTGGCAGAGTATGGGCTGAGCGATCTCTGGAGGTGCCTTCCAACCCCGACATTCTGTGACTCTATGTTTCTATCTTTCTATGGTTCTATGGTTCTATAAGCTCTGGCACAGCGTCCTGCCATGCTCAGGCCCTCCCGAGGCTGGGGCAGGCGCAGCTCTCCGCCTTCTCCCCCGACGGTCTAGAATCAGCATTTTTCGGCTAAAACCTGCCGTTTCGCAGGGCAGGCCCCGAGCTGGCAACGGGGCGGGGGCGCGCTATGCGCAGGCGCGGCGGCTCCCTGCCAGTGGGACAAGGCTACAACTGCTAGCGG